CATATATATATACATATATACATATATATATACATATATACATATATACATATACATATATATATATATATATATATATATATATATATATATATATATATATATATATATATATATATGTATATATATATATATGTATATATATATATATATGTATATATATATATATATATATATATATATATATATATATATATATATATATATATATATGTATATATATACATATATATGTATATATATATATATATGTATATATATATATATATATATATATATATATATATATATATATATATATATATATATATATGTATATATATGTATATATATACATATATGTATATATATACATATATGTATATATATACATATATGTATATATATACATATATGTATATATATACATATATGTATATATATACATATATGTATATATATACATATATGTATATATATACATATATGTATATATATACATATATGTATATATATACATATATGTATATATATACATATATATACATATATATATATATATATATATATATATATATATATATATATATATATATATATATATATATATACATATATATATATATATACATATATATTTATATATATACATATATATATATATATATATATATATGTCATGTGTGTGTCATGAGTGGCTACAATCAAGAATGCACATAAAAGGTTAAATTGAATTAGTTTTTAATTAAATACTTTAATAAAAAGAAACAAAATTACATAATACACTTAATGCTCTTTTACAGATTTTATCCAAATATTAACTATCAGCAATATTCTTGACCTGTCAATAATAATACCTGATTTTCAGAACATAAAACTATGCAAACTGCAGGACAAGACCTGTTTTTTTTTCCATTCCTGCTGAATAGCTCTTCTGGACTACACATACTACTTAGCTATACACTGATTTTTCTACCTTTTATGTTCAGATAACAAAAGCTCTTGACTGGAATACCCTGTCTATTCAGATTCAGATATGAGTGGTTACAAAACCTTCATACTTGGCTGGGAGTCCCTTATTAAATCAAACTTATATTTCAAAATTATATACACTCATGTCATCCAGCACCTGCATCGTGTCCTTTCTTTTTACCCCTCTAGATGCAGATCAATTTTCCATCTTCTTCCACTCCTCATATAAAAATGCCCCCTTAAATCCTAAACACACTTCAAGATCACATCCTCACAGAGTCAGTTCTGTGAAAGATTCATTAGCCAAGGCCAGGTTGCGCTGAACACACAAGAGCTTGGCTGCTGCTCTTCTTGCCCCAGCAGCCTGGGCTGGAGTTTGTGCACCAATGAAATCACCAATGAAATCCTTGGCCAGGCCAGACTGACAGGTGGGCTTGGGAGCTGTGATTGCCAACAATTCAGCATAGGTGAAAGCATCTGGGGGTGACAGGAGGGGCACCAAATTGGGCAATAATGCAGGAGGAGTCAGGGTAAGGAGGGTGTGGCTGTATGGAGCAGCTATAAGCTCATGGAGAATGTTAACAACAAGTCTGGTTACTGGACTCACAACACCTGCACGGCTCACCTGGAATGCCAATTCGAACTTTTACAATCACAAAAAGGATAAAATTACATACATACATACATGTGTATGTATGTATGTATATATATATATATATATATATATATATATATATATATATATATATATATATATATATATATATATATATATATATATATATGTTTATATATATATATAAAATTATTAATTATTAAAAAAATAATCATAATAGTACATAAATAAATAAATAAAAATATACATGTATATATGCATCTACATTTGCATCCACACACCCATGTCTAAACACAAGAACATGCACACACACACACACACACACACACACTAAAAAATCTTAATTTCTTTATCCTTTCTAAATTAGATTATATAAGGAATAAGAACTTCTTGATAAATTCTTTACATGACTCTAACATTCAACTTTATAACAAACAAATTTGATCTGCAATAAGTGCACAAACCTACATAAACTTTATTGGTGCACATATGCAATGCAAACAAGTGTACCCAATACTTTAAGCCCTTCACAGCCAGCCCAGAAGGCACTGGGTTAATAAATCACTTCTTTTACACTGATTTTTGAAAAAGGCATAATAAATGCAAAAAAATCTACTTCCACATTAATAAACCCAACTATTTTTTTCAAAGACTGAAATATAAAATACAATAATCAATCAAATTATAATTAGCACAATCATGCATGGTACTTCCAGAGTTTAATAGTCATACCTGAGTCATGAGCAAGAGTAGTGACTGTACAGCAACCAGAAGTGATGTCCCATCTTTTGTCAGGCCTGGAGTACCTCTGGCAATTGCCAACTCTACAGAATGTGCTTGCAGGCTAGATTCAAGGTCATCCAGTATGCGGTCATGGTAGGTACGCTTTCTGTAGTTGCTAGGTCCTCCAGGTGTGGCTCCCATTACCATACTCATTGTACTCCCTGGCTGTTGGATATTAAGAATGATATAAGTATCGTGATCAAATGATATGTCTTGACAAGTTCCCCTCAGTCTTTTTTTCTCTCTCATCTCTTTAATATTTTTCTTTATTGGAATCCTTCATCTAGATCACTTACCTCTGGCTTAACAGGAGGTTGCTGAACAGCCAACCAAGCAGATATGATCATCATAACTGCTAGATGGGCCAGAGCATGTGTTCTAGGCTCACTAAGTAAATCAGCTGGAAAAAAAAATATATATATATAACAGCAATGAAAGTCGACATTCAGTATGACTTTAGCTACTTTACAATAAGGATATGTTACAGCAATACCAATATAATATCAAGATGTCATGGTCAAATTACACAGGCAAGATCTTGCAGATATACATATCACAGGTCTTACCTGAACATGGCCCAGATATGTACATGGGCAGAGCATGGACCAATAAACTCAGAGTGCAACCAACCACATCTTGGTGTAAAAGGGCGTAGATAAGATCAACTGCCCGAGCCAAATCTGACTTGAAAACACTCTGCATCCCAGTCTGAAATTATAGGAAATATCATTATAATATTCAGGCAATTCAACTGTGGTGTAGTGTGTTACCTATGACTGTAATGCAAAACCACCTTTTAAATACAAAGCATTAACCCCTAATTGTCTAACTGCCATATGGTAGCTCACTGCATTCTGTGTGGTCTTTGCTATTGGCCATGATCTTGGCTGAACTGTCAATAACTAGGAGGATTTTTCTCTTTCTATGGATGACATGCATGTAGTGTCCCTAATATATCTGATACTGTTAGTAAGATTCCTGAACAGAACAGACTGGTGTGACTGTCCCTTTTGCCAATCATACAGTCATGTTCCCGAACTCTTTTTTCTTGTAAACAAAAAAGGAAGAGAAAATAGTAATTCTGGTATTGTATAGCACATTTAAACCAGCTAAACTCCTCATGCTTTCTTGTCTCCCATTCACACACCATACTATTACATATCACAGACACCTTCTGGTTTTATTATTCATACAGTTATATAAACATATTTTTGTTCTATAAGTTAATTATATGTTTTTCTTACTTTCTGAATATTCTATTTGTATGTTAGGGAAACATTCCCATTTTTATACATACATGAGTGGCAACCATAACTTTTTCAACTTTGACATTCCACTGTCTAGTATGTATTTGATATATGACAATCAAATATACATTTTTAGGTGTATAAAATCATGCTGCTGAAACATGAAACACCAAAGTCTACCATGGTGAAGCCCAATTTTTGGGTGTGTAAGGGAATGGGGGACAAGCTGGAGGTTTTGCTGCTCTTAACCCTTTGGATCCAGTTGACATAAGCATCACATCATGAAAAAAATTGGATGAGGGCCAGGTGACACAAGTATGCCACATGAAAAGTATGGCTGAAGGACAGGGTGACAGAAATTACTAGCCATGAGTGCAAAAAGCTCTTGGAGAAAGATTAGACTCAGTGAACATACTTGAGACATGACTGGAAGAGCACCAGCTCCAGGGAGGACACTATTTCCATGCTCAGGATCCTACATACTGGGCAGTGTATAAAAGAAAATTGCATAATACAGAAATATCTAAAAATTACACAAATAACAAAATATTACTAGGGAGATGATATTGAATAGATACAAGAAAAGTTCTATCAATAAATAACAGAAATATTTTAAAATTACACAAATAACAAAATATTACTAGGGAGATGATATTGAATAGATACAAGGAAAAGTCTATCAAAATCTTGATATAGCATATCAGATGACAAATATAGGGTTTGGAAAATGAAAAAAAAAGATAAATGAAATGCTTATCAGAAAAAATAACATTACAAAGGGGAGGCAAAGAGTCTTGGTACCACACACAAGTGTTCATATGGGCCAACTTTACAAGCCACACACCCAGAAGAGTTGTCTTTCTCATAAACCTAATGCTTGAATTTTGGGCCATGTATGAGATGCAAGGCAACTAGATCCAATGGATTAAGGGTTATACAAAATATCCTCTATATGTAAATCACACTCTCCTAGAGCAAAAAATAATCAAACATACCTTTACCAAATCGCAGACAAACCACTTGATACCACCGAGCCTTAGGAGATCCCGAAAAGTGGCCAGAGCTTTGTGTGTTATGACTCCTCCTGGGAACACTTGTTTCCATGTTTCTCTCAGCAGGTTTGACAAGGGTTCCTGGGATGAGAGGAGTGAGTTTGTACTTTCTTCTTTCTGGAGGGTTTTCCCTGCACTGCTGTTGTGGACAGAAATACTGGGGTAAGCTTTATATCAGATCAAAATAGAGTAAATTAAAGAGATGTCAAAAGAAAAAAAGTTGTTCATTTTTGCCCCCCCCCAAAAAAAATATATATATATATATCATTAATGTTGTCCTTAAAGACAATATGCCAATTCTGAAAAAAAAAAAATGATCACTAGCAATATATAAATTTATGTATAAACTTACTTATTCATATTATCATTGTTAATTGCAGGTTGTGTTCCTCCTTTCATTACCTGTGCCATATTTTCCACAATTTGCACCATTAATGTGGATCTGAAAAATTGTATAAAAACTATTAGTGAAACTCTTTAGATAATCTTTTCATGATTTACCAAAACTTTCTTTATCATATACTAACAAACAAAAAATGGTTGATAGTTTTACCTATCCTTGAAATTTTCAAGAGTTGGTACAGAAGCATCATGATCATTAAAAGAAGTCAGAAGGTAGTGCAAAAAGCTAAGTGGCTGGACTGCTTGCTCTCCATCCACCACCTGAAGAGAATTATATAAATTACACATTCTCATCATAAACATTAAAACATATGATAAGTATATTCCTCAAGGTATTGATATAAAATCTTAATAACACTTTTTTTTCAACTTCTTTCACTTTTCTGTTTCTTATTCCTTTGCATCATACTACTAACCTGAACATGGGAACAGAGCCAAGTGGCAACACAAATGGGAAGACAACACAAGTGATAACGAAGACGGTCAAGCAACTCTTTCACACGCTGTATTGGCACTGCTCCTTGTTGGGCAGCACTCACCACTTCCCTGAATGCAATTGCTGCCACCTGACATAAATCACTCCATGGCACCATACTGGAAGAGAAAATGGAGTTAGCATAATATTATATTTCATCAAGCATGAGAATTACTAGAGGTTTTGAAACTTCAACTGATATAAACAGCACTTGAGAAAATTTTGAATATTTATAAGATATCTGCTTGACTTACTTGTACTTCAAATCAAGGTCTGTAACATTGACCTGTCTAATGAAGTCCTCAACGGCATTTTGGTCTGTGCGGGTGGTCATCAATGGTGCTTTTACGCGGCCTAATTCAGGCATGTTCTCCTTCATCCACTGTTCTACAAAAGTCTCACACTTCTCTGATACAACCACCTGTATAATAGGGAAAAATAGGGAGCCTGTATTATTATGAACTGGTATTTCTATTGACCAAGGAAAGTATGGGTATATCATCAATTACCCAGTATCCTTGGTTCATACTAAACTAGATTATCCATACTGCTAGGTCAGCAGAGGTCACATAAAAATAATTCATAATTATTTACAATAACACTTCAGCTCCCTTAATTTTGCACCTCCTAAAGTTAGGAGTAAGCGTAAGCAGAACAAGACTTGAAACTGCATAAAACTGATGGAGTTGTATAAACTGGCAACTGTGTGAAATATAAATGTCCACTTATGATATTGTCTGGATTAAACTCCTGGATACAAATGTTTAGTACATACAATTTAGTGCAGGCTCACATGTGCATGACATAATAGGAATCATGATAAGATGACAACCATTGCGAGTGGGTTAGCAATAAAAATAGTAATAAAAATAACTTTTCTCTAAAACTTCAAGGAAAAGCTTAACCCAATGACTACAGATTTATATGATTTTTATGAATTTTGTTACATACAGATCGCTCCACATATGCTCAGCAAGCAAGGAGCCTATCAGTATGTCCTAGTGACTGCTCCTGATTTCCCCATTCCTTGAAATCACAAGAAAATGTTTTTTCTTTCTAGTACTATTGATATCGATACTGTTATTATTCTTATCAATATTTTGATTATTAAATTGTGACTAAGCACTTGTAGAGCCACCTATGTGAATATACAATAAATAAACTTATATTACAGTGGGCATGGCATGTATTCAAGCCATCCATGCCAACTGGGTTAAACAGATGACATCAGGCTGGCCTAGCATTTAATTTCTTGGTGACTAAATACCTGTCAAGTCATCTAAGTATAAAACAAAATTAATAACTAAAATCACTGTGGACTGGGGATGCCTACATGCCATACCGGTTTGTCAACTTGTTAAAAGAAGACCAAACCATCAACTGCTGGAAAACTGTTACTGTACTTGTATATATAACAATGCCATGAACATGTTTTATACTTTGTATATATCATTCTTTGTATTGGTAATATATTCAATCTTTGAAATATACCACTGGCTTTGAAGTATGGTTCAACAACGTGTAACTGAAACCATGTGATCATTACAACCAAGCAATAAATAAAATATGTACCAGAATCGCTTTTCAAAAAAACATGTAAAAATATTAACCTATTGGATCCTGGTAACATGACCATCATGTCACGAAGAAATCTGGGTTGAGGGGCAGGTGATGTGAACATGCTGTCACGGGAAAATCTGGCTGTAGGCCAGATGGAAAAGAATGCACAAACCTATTGGGAGTTTTATCTTACTCATTTGGCAATTTTGCATTATTCCCATCCATGCATGAGTGTGGAATAAAATGTCTGTGAGCAGTGACTGGAAGAGTGCCAGCTCCATAGATGATGCATTTTCCATGCTCAGCATCATATTCCTAATGTTGTGAGTGGCAACGGAGGCTGTTTTACAGAAAATTTATTATTATGTAAAAATTCTTAAAAATTACAAAAGTTTTATTTTTCCTGCACTGAATTTTAGACTACTTTGAGATAAAAAGAGTGAATAATTTTGCAAATAGAAGGCACAGAGCCTATAAACACATATTCACATACGCCCGGCCTACAAGCAGCCACCCAGAACATAACCCTAATACCCGGATTTTTGGTGATGTGATTGCTGTGATGCAACTAGAGCCAATGGGTTAATGATGGTTATAACAGATAGTTTTATACTTACATCTATGCCATAAAGTTGTGCAATATGGCATAACAAGAGGAAGGATATATCAAACATAAGAGCACGGTTGATAGCCATTTTGGAAGTCTCTCCAGGCTGAGGATCCTGTAGAAGTGTAAAATGTTAATAATGCCTCAGGTTAACATAGTATCACTGCAGCAGATGACAAAATATATAACATTAGCAATGATGATACATATCTTTTAATTAGTATGGCACCAAAGAACTTCCTTCTTTTTCTTTAATATAATCATATATTCATAAATAAATACAAAATAAAGATAGAAGAACTTACCATACTGACTTCATTGAATTTGACAAACTTCTGTGCAAATATATGAAGACTGCCAGAGGCAGCAGCTGCAACCAGCAGCAAATCTCGACTCTTCCCACTAATCAGCAAATTCATGACAGGTAAAACAGATTCCTGCCAGAACAATAACAACTTAATCTATCAGCATTAATAATCCCTACAATGTCTTTCATATAACCATTGCTTGGTTTCCTTACTGAAGGTCATTGTAATCATTTTCATTTTTACTGGTTCTGATAATATAAGTCACTTTGGTATTATCATATTCATAATTATTTCAGTTACAATTTTCATCATTGTTATTATCGTCATAACTATTCTAAGCTGTTTCACTGTCCCTATCACAAAAGCAATCATTAATATAACTACCATAATCACTAGTACTCAGAAATATTATAATGAAATGACATTAAATTTATTTGAAAATTATGACTTGAGAGCAAACAACACGATTTCACATGTAACCCAAGGAAGTACCTGATTCTTATTACTGAGTGTCTTTAATATACTGGTAACAGTAGGCTGGGCACGGAGGATGAGGTTCGGATTACCAGGGTGTGAGCCTTGGGCATCATTCTTCTGAATATTGGACAGAACATTGGATTCCTTTACCCTGCAATAAAGAGCAAATATAAAGTTATAAAAAATTCACCTTTTACTGATGTTTATGAAATAACATATAAAACAATGAAAGAAGTATTCAGAAGCTCGAAATAACAAACATAGGTAAAAATATTTACTGGTAAAATATGTAGGTTATTTGCTAATAATGGGGTTGATAATAACCAGCGTGCCCTGGGATACACTAAGCTGGGATATCTCACTGGCAAACATCTAAATAAGTTAGCTAGACCTGGGTCAAAACAGGTACTACAAAAGATCACTGGGTATCAGAATGAACATAGGTCATAATGATTCATAGAATGATATTCATAAAATGCAGAAACAAAAACAAAAGAATAATACTGCAAAAATATAATGCTGTGTGTATGTGTGTCTATGCAAGTGTGTGCACATGCACACACACACATGTGCATGGTATGTATGTACTTATCATGCCCACTGTGAGCTTATTTTATTAATTGTTTTTTCACACATAGATGGCTACACGAGGTCACCAATGAGCCAATTACAAGTACTGCCTTTTCCTTAATTTTTTTAAAAATCTTACATTATCTTATATTGCTGTTACTAATGTCTATAACATTATAGCAATTATAATGTCCATAACAAAAATAACACCATCGATATTCATAGCAGTAGTAAAAAAAAAAATATATGAAAATATGAAAGGAATGTCAAATAGGAAAAAGAGTTAGATAGACAAGTCTAGATACCAACCAATATATTAATTTTCTTTTAGCATTTTCATCAGTTGAACAAAATCTCAAAACTCCCTGATAAATGAGTAATGTATTGATAAGAAATTTGGATGCTTCTAGACAGGCAGGTATATTAGGTAAGTTGCAAATACATAGATTTAGGCACTGCATATATATTGCAATGATTAGTCTATCAAAGCGTTTGCTACTTTACATGCTCTAGATTTTCTGCACTAGGAAAAGCCAAGCCATGGTACACTGGGAAAGACTGAAACAAGGTAGCCAGAACTGAGACAGGCTGAAATAGGTTATCACATACTCGAATTGGAGTGCTGGGTATCAAACCCTTTGTTTGATCTATATTTGATATCAAAAATACAAACCTTTTTGTAATGATTTCCTGGGCATCTCTTTCTGATATCAAGCTGGTCTTGTTACAAAGTTCATTCAGAAGGTATTCAAGACAATTACAGTTGATTCTAGAGTCAACTTGGTCTAACAGTATTGTTAATTGTGCCAATCGCTGAACTGCTGTTAGTAAATCTTCAGATTCTCCTGTAGCATTTTCTCCTGCAATAATCAATGCATTATCTAAAATAACCATAAATGTTCTATCAATAATTAATTATACACTAATAATTTATAAGAGAAGCTTACTGCTGTAATACAGCAAAACCTCCTCAGAAAAGTAATAAATGGAACAGACTGATGTGGATTTCATGTTCATATATTTTTTTTTACTTTAATGAACTAAAACTGATATAATATTAAAGAAAAATAAATGATTACCTATAAAGTATAACTTTAACTCATCATTTACAAAATCAGTCAGTATGAATGAACTCAGAGCAAAGGAATTATTTGTTCTAAAATTCTGTGATACTGATCTCACAGTCTCAATGTACTGCTTTTGTGAGTGAATTTATATGAAAAGGTCATATTCATGCCAAACACTACTATACACTTACCATTCAGCATGATATGGATGGTATATAAAATTGTTGGAACTTTGATGAAGGTGAATCCAACCCACTTCAATTCTTGGTATGCCTGGTGCTCAGGACAGCTCAGTCCCAGGAAACTTGATCTCAACAATTCTAAATACAGCTGCATTGTGCTGAGACCCTAAGCAAAGAAACAAATTATAAAGCTTTCATAAAAACAGAACAGAGGAAACTATCTTAACCATTGAACAACTATTTGAATAAAACTGATTTCCAGTCACCATCACAGATATAATAGTTCAATAACATTGTGAAACTCTTTTGCAACAAATGTAGATGCAACAGTGAAAGGTAATAAAAGACCACAAGAAACTTTGGTTTGTCAAGAACACTTAAGGTAAGATTTGGTTTAACTTTGTCCAGACTGGCATAAATACTGAGTATTGGGCTTGGTTCTCTAGTTTAACTCATATGCACTCAGCTTCCTGCAACTTATCGCTTCTCTGTGGCTAGAGCATGTCTACGCATGTGTCAGATCACATTTAAATATTTTGTGAGCAGAGATGATAAAAGGAACACAAAATTAAAACCAAGCTGTAACAATTAATTGTGCAAATGTCAGTAAGGAGGACCATGGAGAGTTGGGACAGAGAGAGGACAGATTTTTGGGGAGTGAACAGGGTGAATTACATCATGTGTCTATTGATCTGATATCCATGGATGTCTAGACATTAAAATGTTAAAAATGCCTGAGTTTGATCAAATTTACATTTAGTTACATCAGAGCAAGGTAGTTTGAACCAGGTAGCTCCACTAGGATATAATTCTTAGTTGGACTGACCTAGCTAATGACATCATCATGTTTAGCTAATGAGTGTGTGGAGATATAATAAATAACTAGATACATAATTATTTGTATAATTTACTCAATATTGTTATAATTACCAGAAGTCCAGCAAAGATTCCCTTCTTTTATCTATGATAATGAAGAGTTTCCTAACATTAACAGCTGTTAGTATACTTCTGGGAAAAAGTCAATCTTATTTTTTGGTTCAACAGGACAAATGGAAGTGGAGCTGACTAGTTATATGATCCTTGCATCAGAGTATAGGACTATTCAAATTATGACTAGATTATTAGCAAAACTAGTAGTTGTTATGGAGAGTGGGAGAGCCAAAGAACAGCAAATTAACCCTATGGGACTAGGTATCAATGTCTAGACACTGGGTGCAGGAGTCCGCTACATGTAGCAGAACTTCCTGCTCCAAGCACTCTGGTGCATCGCAGCGCATATAGCCATACCCCACAGACCAAGCGGTTTGTTATGATGGGTGTACACGTGACCCATCAGGATACAGTTAATTACAAAAAGATATAGCACTACCTATCTTCCTATCATTACACTCTTTCAGTACAATCTATCTACAAAGAAACTATAGAAAGAGGATGAATGAAAAAAGTCATATATCAATTTGTAAAAATACACTTTCATGATCTTTTATTTCTCTATACCTGAAGTTGTTGCAGAAGAAGAAGTTGATGAGCAAATGTTGCAGCGTCACGTGTGGTATGTGTGATCACTTCCAACATCACCAGACTGTGCATTGCATGGCACAATGGAACTGAACTGCTGTCAAATTTGTGTTTGCTGCCTATACTGTCCAAGGGCTGGATATCACGTAGTTGGCTATAAAAAGAAATTATTCTAATTATAACCAATATTCGGGGTCATAGATCATGCAAGGATAGAGCTTACCCTTTTTATGGGTAGTAATATAGAAATACAAACAATATTTATACCTGAATACAATATTAATATATGTATATATGTGTGTGTGTGTGTATATGTGTATAAAAAAAAAAAAAAAAAAAAAAAATATATATATATATATATATATATATATATATATATATATATATATATATATATATATATATATATATATAAAAATATACATATATATGAATATATATGTAAATATATATATATATATATATATATATATATATATATATATATATATATATATATATATATATATATATATATGTATATATATATACACACATATATATGAATACAGTCTGTTACTGTTTGGATATAGTATAGGTAAATGCTTATTTTTAAAAACTGAACAATAAAAAAAGAAGAAAAAAAAAAGTACAAATAACACAATGCTACCTGTATTGCACAGAGTACAAACTAATTGCACAACAAATCACAAACACAGACCTTGGGAAATGGCAAAAATGGCAAAAACAGCACGACTTTATATGTATTGTGCAATGAATGCTACTTAGACAGATAATATTCAGTGTAAACAATGGAAGGAGTATATCAATCTCTTGATATAGCAGTATATATGAAAATATAGAAAACAAATATGCATATAGTTGGTAAATACTACATAAACAACCCTATACATAATTCTTGAATTCAGGAATTATGTATCTTCCTTTCCTTCATAAAATTAAAATCATGTACATATTGTTTAGTCTCCTTGTAATATGATGTAAGCTTTATTATGAACAGTACATAAGACTAAATTCTACTCACCAAACGGTCTTGATGAGAATATCTTTGTTTTCAATAATAGTCTCAGCACCAGCCAGGAGAGTCTCTACTTCTGTCATCTTCTTCATGCAGGTGCTCCAGGTACCTGAAAAACTTTCATTTTAAGGGAAGATTCTTCAAATCCCAATGTTTATAGATTCAGACAGTTGGGCCTTTTGAATCTGGTGGCATAAAGACAATGTGCTTTCAAGTACGGAGTGAACTGCAACAATTGGATATCTAATTCTTTTTATGTTGAAAGCTTCTTTTATGGCTACTCACCTGGTTCTTCTCTTCGGCCAATTTCCAGCATACAGGTAAGGAATGTGCAGTTCAGGATTTCGTGCAAAATTGATGCAGCAAGGCTGAGATTGGCAGAGAGTTCGGGGGCATTGCGAAGATCCAGTAGCTGTTGTGTTGACCAACCCATAACCTAAGAGTAAAAATGTAAATATCATACCAGATAAAGTACATGCTGTCACCTTTTAAGGCCCAATCACACAGTAATTTTTTTTGTAAATTTTTGTGTTCCTATGTGAAGTTTCTGTTTACAAATCTCTAAACCTATCACACTACCAAAGTAGCAAAAATAGTGTCCATGTAAACAAACATACATAGAAACATATACTGGCACCATCCATATGGTACCTGGAATTACAAAAGCATTCTCATATACAATGTATTATATAAAAGAAATATGATTATGCTTATTATGTAAAGAAATATTCTAGAATATTAACTTATATTTACATGAACTTTTTCTTATTTCATTTATCAATATTTCATTTTTTAAATGTAGTTTTATAGATCCCCATAGCATGAGATCAAAACAGAAATTAATCAAAAGAAAACCACTGCTACCATCTTTAACTGGAAGGCATGCATGCAATACCTGCGGAAAGCCTTAAATTTATAAGGAAACAAAAATTAATGTGATAAGCCTTAAGCCATAGTTTTACAATAAAAAAGTTATTAAAGGCATTAAAAATTATAAAACATTGAACTCACCTGTATCAACCATTTAACCCCACCAACAATAGAAGTAGCCAAAACAAGACAGTCTTCTGGCTTTCCTCTACATGATACGCTTTTCTGTAATAATTCATGAATCTATAATAGCAGATATGTTCATTTACACATTATCATATTGAACAAATGTATTACATTTAACATTTCAAATATATAAAATTTACACTTGAAAATTCAATATCTTATAAAATCATTGAAACACTACGGTACTTCTTCTAAAGTTTAATAAAACATCAATTACTATCAGCATACCATCATAGACTGCATGAGATCAAGCAGAGCATGAACACAGTGAGGCTTGTGCAGGCCATCATACTTGCTGATGCTCTCAATCACACCACCATATGATACAATCTGAGAGGAAATACACAAAATTATAAGCACATATTTTCATGAAAGATATTTTAAAATATTAACCATTAAACTGGTCCTGAAACTTATTAAAAAATAATACTAATACTATCAAACATATGCAAACAGTACTAATCCATAATTTCTTCACCCAATATAAAAAACTAAATATTTCATTCTAGTTCATATCTAAATAATTCATCCCTAAGAACTCTATACCTGTGAACTGAGAGAATGCCTCAAATATGAAAGAATGAGATTATTTGGTAGGGGTCCCATGAGTGCTTGTTGGAGAATGTAGTCCGCTAAATGGTAGATGTCTCCACTCACAGCACGGGGCAGTACCTGAAGAGAATATTAACTTGTAATTCTTATCTGAATCATTCTAATTAATATCAATGTCAAATTTTGATAATAATGTCACATTCTTCACAATGCATATTAAATTCCAGCATGCCGATGATTAACTTCCATAATACCGAAATATCAAAAAGCAAAGCAACTACATATTTACCGTTTTGATGTGAATGCCCCACTGGAGGTCTGACCATCGCTCCCGCCATGCTCGGATGAGGAGAGAGCGAATGGTGCCAGCCTTACTGCTGGATAGTGGCTCTAAAACCATTGTGGTCTATTTGCTTTGGTGTTGACAAATGATGTCCATATATCTTGATCTGTAATTAAGATGATATAAATATTTGAATTTCTTTTGAAAATATAAAAATTAACCACAAAAAGCTGAAGAAAAAAAATTCTCCTTAGATATTGCCTAAATCACTTCAAA